TCATATCAGAAGCAGAAATGCTAGTATTGCCTTTCAGACCTCCACATATAGTTTTTCTTGGCTATGAATTAGTTAGATAAACTAGAGTTTAATAAGCCACAAAAGTGATCAGACATCAGCCCCAAAGCCAGGGAAATAGTGGTGGTCAGTGATGAGAGAACATGGGTAGGGGAGCAAGGCTCTGTGGTAGACCAGGAGGCTATTCCTGGTGGGCTCAGTGTTCAGAGGGCAGAAATCTCTCTCTGCAACATGGTGGGGTTTTGTTCTTCTGTCCTGTTTTTTTTTTCATATAGCCAAGGAAAAGGGAATTAAAACCTAGACCCTCCTATCTTACAATCCCAGCTTTCTTGAAGCCAGTCTGTTAAAAATCTAAATGGAAAAAAAAAACCTTCATTTTGGTGTCCCCAACACAGTTCGGAAGACAAGTGCTGTGCAGTCTGTAATCCTAGGTGGCCAGATGCAGTTGTGAGTCTCCAACACATAGCATTGGCCCTATCATTAAGTCCCCTGCTGTTGGAAGTCCCCACAACACAGGGGCCACCTTTAATCTCTGCAGGAGCTAGGAGTGAAATATAGACAGGCTGGGCAATGGGGTGACGTGTATATTTGCTCACTTTGGAATGAGATTTGGACACAGAGTGTTCCCCTTCCTCACACGGATCTTAAAGAAAACAGCAATGTCTACAGGGACCCTTGGCACCCACCTACCAGGACTGTGAGGGTTTGGCAACATTAATGATCCACAAGGTTAGCTTGGCTGTCTCCATCAGCTGTGGCACTTCATGCTCTGTTCAAGTTGCTGTCAATCATTAATAATGCACCTGAATATAGGAGTGGTGATGCTTTTTGTCATAATTGTTCCATTCTCTAGCCAGGGGTGAGTGCTAACTTTCATCACGCCTCATTCATAAACTAGACCTTATTGTAAGCTTGCATGTAGAGAATTAAAACATACCATATGAAGGGATTAATACTATCTGAAGCTGCAGGAACTTTGGAGGGGTATTATATTATGTCAAGAGGTGCCACTATACTCATGAAATGGAAACAGCCATTTTTGTTAATACTTCTTTAAAATGTTGTGGAAATCTATAACCACAGATTAAAAAAAATCACAGTGAAAGGCATGGCATATTTTAAAGTTTTATTACCTTGTTATTACAACTGCCTTTAATCCTGTCACTTGAGAGACAGAGGAAGGCAGATCTCTGAGAGTTGGAGGCCATCCTAGTCTAGACAGTGAGCTCCAGACCAGCCAAAGTTGCACAGTGAGGCCTCTCCACACCTGCCCCCACCAAAAATGTCTGGTTCCTTAGCAAATGCCTGAGGTCTTCCTGTGACCTCTGGCTACCCATTCCTTTCACCGTTCTTGATTCTTCCCTGATTGCACACGACACATTTTAATGGATGCTGCTGTTCCTTTTGTAGACAGTGTCTTCCTCCCTGCTCCCTTGTGTCTTACCGCTTTTGTGGTCTTGTTTACTGAGAAAGCTGCTTTAGTCACCAAGTAGACCTGGCCAACCCTGGCTCTGCCACACCCTAGGAGAATACCACTTCTGTGCCTGAAACTCACCAAGTCCACAGCTCCTGACCCCTGACCCCACATGAAGCTTCATTCTTGTTGTGCACATCCTCTCTCTGTGGCAGTAACTGCCACCATCCCAGTCACCATAGTCACCCGAGTCAGGGTCAGGGCCCCTGTGCTTCTTGTGTAAGAACCTCCAGGGTTCTTAGTTCCATCATGGGCTCCTGGGTGTTTTCCCTTCTTTCCTCATGTGAATCTCTCTCCCTTACTCTTCCCACCCCTGGGGATGTTGAGTTCAGCCTCCTCACTCTGCCAAGCTGAAGAAGACTCCTTGCTGATCCTCAGATGACTGGAAGAAGTCAAAACTCCACCAAAGCCTTCTGGACCTGCCTACAGCAGCATCCTCTGGCTCTGCCTGTCTTTCCTCTAGCTCACTCCTTTCACACTTCTGGGCACTGTAGGAGAGCAAGCTGAGGAGTCCTTTCTGTACAGTACATTTGCTGCTCTAGAGAGCCCCTTCTTCCTCTCCCCCTCCCGCCTTTTCTTTGTGTGTGTGTGTGTGTGTGTGTGTGTGTGTGTGTGTGTGTGTGTGTGTGTGTGAAGGAATCTGTCTCTGTAGAGCTGGCTGCTCTTAAACTCAGGGCAGTCTGCCTACCTCAGCTTCAGTGCTCAGAATACAGGCACGAACCACCACAGCTGGTCCTTTTTGAAAGCTTCTCATCTCCCTAACACATTCCTCAAGTCAGAGTGAGAAAGAGGCTGCTTCAGGAAGCCTTCCCCTTCTGTGAGTCACACTCACGCCCCTCCCACATGAACTTTCACAGCTCCCTGTACTTCCCCTCATATTCCTTCTCCTGTTATATTTAGCTGTTCGCTCAATTGCCCTTCTCCTTCCTATTAGCTGCATCTGGGATATGGGAGAAGGGAGACAGAGAGACAGAGACCAAGTTACTTGTTCAAGTTCTTAATGAATGGTTAAGGTTGATAAACAAATGCATGGATGTTTGCTTTCATTATTGCTGGTGCTCACTCAAACTCTATTAACTAAGACATCTGGCTCTTCATCTTCTAAAGGTCAGAGAAGGTGCAGCAGAAGCTACACCACGCTTCTCCCCCAGGTCAGAAGCGTTGGCTTCTGTGGCTGCCATGAGCAGCCTCTCCATGGTGGCTGCTTTTGCTGATTGATTTTCTGAGTGTGCACAGTGACTTCCCCATGGGTCATATGTTTTTCCAAGACTCACAGGAGTCTAGGAAGCTCCCCACGTGTCTCTAAATGCCTTCTCCAGAATTCCTAAGTTTAAGGTCCTAGGACTGAAACTTTCTAAAGAGAAGTTCCCCGTGAAGCTGCCAGGGACGGTGCTCAGGAGGGCTGTCAGCTTATTTTAAGGCCATGTAAGGAACAGTGTGTTGGGTCAGGCAAGAAGCAGTATAGATCTGAGGCTCCAAAGTCCTAAAGAGCCAGAACCAAAGTCAAGGAGCCCAGCACTCCTGTGGTACAGGGTGGCAGACTGGTAAGCAGGCTAGTCCCTTTCCTCCTAGTGCTATGTGTATTTCCTGTCACAGTGACTTTGTGCTTGTTCATGTGACTTGGGTGGGCCAGTGTAACATAAGTAGACAAGACAAGTGCAGAGGCCTAAAATACATTTATTGGCTCATATACTCCTTTACTTCCCACTCTGGGTCACCATGTTGACTTTGGATTAGTCTGTGTTCCCTCTTGGAGATCTAAGCAGAGATGTACATAATTTGGAATTCAAAAGTGGCCTATTCTGAAAATACACTTAGGGGTTGTTATACCCATGGAGTAACTAAAGTCTCAGGGTAGCCAAGCTTGTCAAGATGATAACAATGGAGAAGAGTCGACTGGGGGAATCGTGATTTACAGACCAGAGAAATGAGAAGGAATTAGAGAGGAACTAGAAACAGAGTAAAAGGAAAAGAGAGAAAAGCAAGCAGCCACAGAAGGGCAGACAGAGAGGACGTTCAGAGTTGTCCAAAGTAGCAGTGGCCACTTATGTCCAGCTGGCTGGTAGGCCAGCAAGGTGAGGATAGAGATCTGGCCTGCTGGTTTAGAGACAGAAAAGTCATTGGTGTTCTTATGATGCCTTTCTATGGGGTCCTGGGGGCAAGAACTTCAAGGGAGAGATCAAGGAAACAAGAAGAGGAGGGAGAGATAACAGCAAGTTCAACAGTCCTTAAAAACAAATTCTCAAAACCAGGCTGTAGCCAAAGGAGGAGTGGCATCAAGAGTTTCTTGAAGATGTTAAAAAAAAAAAAAAGCTAACATTGATGGGAAAGATCCAAGAGAAAGAAGGCAGGGGCGATGAAGTTGAGCTGGGGGAGAGGGGAGGTGGCTCATCAGTTGATAGCATGTGAGAGGCAAGGAAAATGCACTCAGAGTTAGTTGTCAGGGAAAATGAAGTGAGTGAGCCTGGATGTGTGGTGCATAAGGAGATTATGCAGAGAGGCCCGGTGTCAGCAGAAACCTTCACAGTAGCCCTGTGAAGTCCCTCTGTTAACTACTGCCTTTACAGAGGAGGGCAATGAAACAGGAAATAAGGAACAGACCCAAAGTCGCACAGCAAGAAAATGGTAAAGCTAGGATTTGAACACAGGCAATTTGGTTCTTGGACCTAGAAGCTTAACTGACCCAGTTAAAGGCGTAAAGGCCCACTACAAGCTGAACTGAATTTGTGTTTTTGGGCTAACTACTGTGTGTCAAAAGTCTGCAGACGCCTCTGCAACAACTCTACACCCACAGTCGTGAAGGGGCCCATTTTTCTGAAAAAGACATGGAGGCCCAGAAGATTTTTTGAGAGGGGAAGGAAAACCCGGGTTTTTAAACTGTTGCTTTGATTACAAATATCACACCGTGTACACAAAATAGAAGAAGCATTAACCCTCTTCGTGGTCCTGCCTAGCTGGGATCAACTTACTAGCAGAGTGCATCCAAACCTCCATGCATCAGGTGGAGGTCACTAGGAGCCGTTATCCCAAGCAGATGAGAGCAATGTGGTTCTCACACAGCAAGAATTTTAAAGAACATAACTTGGGCAGTAAGCTGGCTGCCTGCCTGACCTCTTTTAGAAGCTGATTGTTTGAGGCAAGGAAGAGGAGGGCACAGGCGTCAAGGCACATGGTAAGAGCCCTGGGATTCTCCTTCTTTTTAAATTAAAACCACAGCCTTATATCACAAATATGCTCTGGCTTTGCAAAAATTTATAAACGTCTTCTGAAGAAAGTGTGCTCATAATGCCACAATGCTGAACAGCCACCCACTTCCTCAAAATGCGAGGAAGCAGACTGTTAGAAAAAAAAAAAAAAAAAAAAAAAAAAAAAAAAAAAACCCAGTGGCTGTTGTTTATCACAACTTCACTTCAGTGAGGCCTGAGATTCTTCAAAGCAGGGGTTTTGCTTCCCACAAGGCCAAGTGTCAACTGGGATATTTCTGGAAAAATCGAGCCAGCTTAAAGCAGGGTGCCAGCCCCTGAGGGACTTTGGGTGGGATTAGGAGAGCTTGGGTGCATCCTTAAGTGACAGGTGGGTGGACCTTTCATCTGAGGGAAAGGAAGAGGCACGTGGGCAGATCAGCCTGGCACATAAGGGTGCCCCTGAAGCAATCACCCGGCAGAGAAGACAGAGGAACGGAAGGGAAGATCAGAAAAGCAAGAAGAGCACAGACTGTGACACACTGGCCACTTGACCAGCTACTCACCCAAATCGGAAGCAAAATGTCCCTGAAGTTGCCAAGGACCTGGGACTTCAACTTGAAAGCTGAGGCCACGAAAATAGGTAAGGTCAGCGTCCAGGTGCTTTTGCTTGAACACCCACAATTTGCATGCTGGGCTGTGGGAGCTCAGTCAGTAAAAAAACCCCAGCTGGGCAGAAATTTGCATCCAGGTTGATGTGTTGACTAAAGTTTCAGAGTGCTGGGAGGGGGCTCTCCTGCTGGGAGGTGGGGAATGTGGGTTAAGGGAACTTTGGTGATTGTGAGCTGTGCCTTATATACAAAATTGAGATTTCATTCATGTCTCTGGATAGTTGTTTCTGGCTTGAAAAGTCATCTATCTGTTGAATAGCTTTCAGTAAGAGCGCAGAGATTGGAGTATTTTGAAGTGATTCATCCATGAGTGAATTTAAGTGAGTGTCATGTTTGTGAGCCCAGGGGCCAAGGAGGGGCTACTGCCAGTAAAAAGCACACACAGAGAATGAGGTGAGGGCATACAGACTTCTGAAGAATGAGAACAGTATTCTAGAGGAGCAGAATGTGAGAGGCTCCGGAGAGTTGAAGAAGACAGACTTTAGTTAGCAAGGATAATTCTGAGATGTTCTGGCCCTCAATTCATACCATTTTCCTCTAACGACAATGGCGATACATTGGTCCAAATCTATTGCTTGTTATTATATACGTGTCTTTTTTGTTATTTGTTTTTTGAGCCAGGGCCTTGCTACGTAGTTCTCGTTGGTTTGAAACTTGTTATAGAAAGTCAAATTCACAGAGACCCGTCTGCTTTGCCTCAGTGCTGAGATTATCAACATGGTTTGTATAACCTGATATTTCTTTTATTATTAAATTTTATTTTTAAATTGATCACAAACAGATGAAGCAATTGGTTTAAAAGTGATCAACTATGTTGCACACACACACACACACCATCTACATAGTAAGATAACTTCTTAATTAACTTCTTAATTTTAGACACTAGTGTTGAGGTCTTGCAACAGCTTGGAAGGATTTTGCTTGGAGGAAAGTTTAGACTGGATGGTTCATGGTTGTTGGTGTGTTAAAATAAGTGGTCCGTTGAAAACTCACAGATAGGAAGCAGGTCTGAAAGTAACCAGAGAAGCCATTTATCTTGGTGACTGGGAGACCATATCACCTAACAAAGCTGGCAGTGTGTGTTAAGGTCTGTTCAGAAATGAGGAGCAGGCAAGAGCTCTCTCTTCTGTCCATACAAACATCCATGTCTAATGTTCACTCTAAGTTATCCAAATCCAATTTTAAGGTAAACTGTCCATGACTTGGTCACCATGTAAATGTCTGGCCTCTCCTGTGTAAAGGTACCTCGCTCCCTCACCATCCATGTTTCACCCAAAAATGGGAAACTTGAGAGAATAATGTTAGATTGTTTTTATCAGAGACACTGAAAACCACCACACTAGCTTCTCAAGCCTGAGATTAGGCTGAGAGGGTTCATGATTTCTACCAGTGGTTCTTACAATAGTCCCTGGACAGCTTGTGGGTAGAGCAGCCTCTACTGCTGGCCAAAAACACAGACTGTTGGGGTCCACTGTGACTGTGCAGTCAAAACAGACCTGAAGAGGGGACCCCAGGATCCTGCATTTTATGAGATCCATCTGGTGAGCTTTAGGTTCCAGGACTAAGAGCATAGGCTTAGGGTCACTGTGTATATGCCTAACACCTGCACCAGCAGGGTAAACAGGGTTTGTGACTGAGTGGAATTTGATCACCAGAAGGCAGTATTATTTAGTATTAAATATGTGTAATAATAAGTACATGATGTTTAAAAGAGTTTTTGTCATTATCCATGCCATTTACAGTTTGTCACCATATTGCAAAGTGTCACATGAACTGGCATTCATATCATAACTAGAGCCCTCTAAAGGGAAAGTGCTTGACTCAGTTGCAACATTTTCAGCCTCTTCTTCCATGACCAGATAGAGTTAGTTAACACGTGTATCTGTTTACCAATATGTTAGAGAAGCCACCTCCATAGGAAGGGCTGTGTAACTGGGAGTCCCCACAGGGAATTCAGGAACTGTGGTTTTCTATCCTGGGTAGTATGGTGGAGCAGGATTGTGGCTTCTCTGTCTGGCCACTGCTGACATTTGTGACTGGGTAATTCTTATTGCAGGGGCTTTCCTGCACATTGTAAGACAACCATATCCCTGGCCTCTACTGTCTTAAGGATTGTAACATCCCTCTGCCATCACCAACCTTAGCAACCAAAAATGTCTGTTGAATAGCTCCAGACATTGCCAAATGTCCACTGGGGAGAGGTGGCTGTAATAGTTTCCCTAGACCACTGTACCAAAAGTTTACAGTTATAAGGCCATTTTTAGGAGGATTTTTAGGAGGCTTTTTTTTTTTTTTTTTTTTTTTTTTTTTAAGGTGTGACTTGAAGGGGATGGGAGAAAGTTTAAGAGCTCCAAGAAAGGCTCTTGATGGGAAGATACAAGCCACAACCACTGTGGAGCTCAGCAGGGGGCCTGCTTTTCCTTGAGTACTGAACTTGGGCTGGAGGGAAACCAACCACTCTGAGACTGGGGAGAATTCCGCAGCTGTGCTCTTTCTTGGAGAACGGAGGCTCCCTCAGAGGAAGCAGCAGAACTGCTTCCATGGCTTGGATGCTCCTGGTGCAGTGAAGACAGAGCAAGAATGAGACCACCTGACATCTCTCCCATCATTCCTAATGGGAGACAGGATTAGAAATAGATGGTAAAGGCAGCAATCTGGACTTGAGGTGGGACTAGGAGCATATCCTTCTTCCCAAGATGGAGCATTGGCTACTGTTTTACCCCAGCCATTTGAACCACGACAGCCTGCCACTGTGTTCATGTTCACACCTGTTCTTCTAGTACTTACATGTTTGTAGTACCTCCTTCCTCTCTCCCTGTGTGTGCACATGTAAGAAAGCAACCTCAGCCATCATTCCCCTCATACGTAGATACACAGAAGTGAGTGGGTAACAACATTTATGAGTTATTGGAAAGTAGGTGGACCAGTAACCATATGGAAATATATAGTCTTATTAGTCAGGGGATGCAATTGAGAAGTGCTGTGGCGCAGTTTTTCTCATTCAATAAATCAAATCAGCTGAGGAAATCTGATAATTCCAAGTGTTGTCCATGACATGGTGCGGGAAGGACTCCCAAGCCAGGCATACCACCATTGTGGAGAAGCACTTGGCATAGCTCATCTGAGACCACACTCAGAATCCCCGTTCATGTCAGCAGATTAAATGCGCAGGAGAAATCTACATGTTTATCAGCAAAGGGATAGTTTAATGCTCTGTAGCCTCTTTATAAGATGGACACGGCACAAGAGAAAATAATTACAGCTATACACAAGTGAAACTCAACAGCAACACCTTATTTTGGTATTCCCAGAAGAGAGAGTGAAATCATTCACATTAAGTTTAAAAAGGACATGTGCTTATAGAAAAACTATAAAGAAAAACTGAATTGCATGATGTAAAATCTAGGGTTATTGCTCTTTTGGGAGAGAAAGGATGGAAAACACATGTGTGAGGTACCAAAGTTCCTATCTCAGTAGTCCACACATGTGTGGTTCTATATCAAGTGAACACAACAATACACAGTAAACTATCAAAACCATGCAGGGTTTGTTAACAGTGGTTAACTGTGGGGAAAGACTTTATCAGTGAGATATACACACACATGGATGCTTAGACTAAACATTTAAATTAAGTGTTCTGTATTAGGAACAAGTATCACTATGTCATTAAAAATGCACCCCTTCCTAAGTGCTTGACCAAGTAAATTGACCAAAGTCTTCATACAACACATGACCCTTTAGCAACTCAGCAGCTGACTCCAAAGCTCTGCGTTAGCAGAAGAGGCTCCCCTACACCATACAGATGTCTCCCTACATGTCACAGATACCCCAGGGTACAGGGTATTTCTTGAACAAGCTCTGTCAGCCTATGGTTTTCAGGCTAGCCTGCTTGAGTTCACCTGGACACAAATGCTGCTGCTCCCAAGTAAGGCACACTGACACCACACAGCCGGAGGTGACCCGAGATAGGCATGTGTGAGCTCAGGGTTACAGTTTTCTTTCCACTTAGTTGTCAAGCTTAAGAGATGCTGATCCTGGCCAGCTTGGATCTGGACTGCAATAGTCTATTTTCTGTGATTGATGCCACTGTGCTCCCGGTGCAGCTCCATGTCCCCGCAAAGCTGAAGATTACCATAGAGTCAGCGGGGCCATGGCTAGAAACATACCTTCCTTCACTGTCACCAAGAGGGTGCTCATTCCAAGTTCTGTGCCTGTCTTTCCGCAGAGGTCACATCAGTAGTCCCTTGTCCCTAGGCCATTGTTAACTTACTTTTCAGTTGTTAATGTTAAACAACTGAAGGACAGAGCCTTTTTGTCAGTTGGGGGATGAAGGCTGAATATCCTCTCTGGGTCTCCTGCAGTGGCAAAGGGAAGAAACACCTGTTTTCTACCCACTCACACAGAGTGCTATCTGCAGACACTGGTGAGTCTGCACTTCCTGCTAGATTAGGAGCTGAATGGCAAGCTCAGTGGTTCTCAGAATCCAAGTCTCTTAAAATTAGCTAAGAGGCCTGAACATAACAGCTCATAGTGTCTGTCTCCCAATGCTCTTTACAAAGCATCTTCAGAGTCCTGTGGGAGAATGCCATGGGGAATTCTGTGCAGTGGCTCTTGGGAGGATTCAAGGATCTGCTGGGAAGGACAAGTTGGTAACAACAGTCCTTTCACACACAGGATGGCTTGAAAGAGAAAACTTTGCATGAGCTAACACCATTTGGGGCTACCTAGGTAACATGAGATATGACATGAGAGGGCGCAAACATCCCCAGCTGTAGCCATAGCAACTGAGACCAACTGGGTACCCCAGTAAGGGCCAGGTCATTTAGGAGGGTCCCATCACAGAGGACAGCAACAAAGCTTTACAGAAGCCCAGAAAGAACTTAGATAAGAAAGTCCCACAGAGAAAAGGGAATTTATCTGTCTCCCTTTCTTCATCACCGCTTTGCTCTTTGAAAGAAAAGACTGCCATAGG